ACTAAGGTGAAAGGGTGCCTCACTGATTCACCAAGCCTCTCTCCTGGCCGGGCAGGGTTCTATGTTCTGTCCACAGATACACATGGTTCCTCTTCTCCTGCATACCTGAAACACATCTGTCTTTCTCTGTGAATGGGCAAGGACCTCTGCCTTTTTTGTAAGAGGCAAATGGTGGTTTGGGGTGTTTTCAGTGTTTAAGTTGCAAAGTTTGGTGAATGCATGGACTCAGATGACTCAGAATCCACTTGGCACCCGTGCCTGACATCAGCCGTGCTATTTCCGCCAGCATCCATCTGGCATGGCGGGCTGCAGAGCTTTGCGCCCTAGCTGTCTCGTGTCTTCATGGACTCAAGGTCTTGTGTGTCTTTATCTCTAAGACTTAGTGCACACCTGACGTAAGCAGGTGCCAAAGAATTTTCACCATGAGCAAATGGATGTGTGGATGTGTGTCATATTTCCTGTACTTGATGTAACTCTTTGCAAATACCAAAGTCCTTTATTTACAAGGTAAAGGCAGCAATAATGCAAATTTGGTCTTGTTACCTAGGTAATGTACTTTTGTATTGCATGACTTCAGTGACATTACTCTGTTTTGATTTCCTTGTACCTCTCTGACTTTTACTTCTCTATAAAAAGAAGGGCACCTCCCTCAAGGGGGCCCCTCTGCTGCACCCCTCATGCACTAGCATTTCCTGGGTTCTCTCCTTGGTCCTTTTCATGCCAAACTGTGTTCTGCCTGGCGAGCGCCATCCATTCCCTCGGCGAATGCCATCCATCCCCTTGGTGAGGACCATCTGTCCCCTCAGCTTCACTGCTGTGAAGGTAGACTCTGGGGACTTTCAGATCCACATCTCTGTGAAGACCTTTCTGGGCTTGGCACCCTGGACTCCCTGACCACTGAACGTCACCACCGAATGGCCCATTGGTGTCTCAAATTCCGCGTTGCCGAAACTAAACTTGTTATTTCCACCCCTGCCCCTTGCTGTGTCCCCATCTACCCAGTCACTAAGGGCATAAAAACTAGGCATCTCCCTTGATACCTCTCCTTTCTGTGTCATCTTATATTGAAGAGGTGACAAAGGACCCAGGGAGTCTTTTTCCTCACACTTTCTGTCATCATGACCTTTTTGTTGTTGCTCTATTCACTGCTCATCTGGGTCCTTACACTTTGTGCCTGCAGCGTCCTGTGACTGTCTTGCCATTCAACTATCCTCTGAAAAGGGGGGTGCCCCCGCTTTTCCTCCATTCCCACCCTCCACACTCTACGGGAGCCACGCCCAGTAAGTTCCTTTGTTGCGCTGCACGTCATACCATTTGCCTTCACCCAGACCACTTCCCATTCCCCAGACCACTTCCCATTCCTAGAATCTCTCCTTCTGCCTGCCCTGCCTTGTTATCTTCAGCTTTAAAGACAATTAAGGTGGGTGCGGTGGCTCATGTCTGTAATCCCATCACTTTGAGAGGCCAAGTTGGGAGGATTGCATGAGCCCAAAAGTTCGAGACCAGCCTGGACAACATAGGGAGACCTCGTCTCTACAAAAAATAAAAAAATTAGCTGGGTGTGGTGATGCATGCCTGTAGCCCCAGCTACTTAAGAGGCTGGGGCAGGAGGATCACTTGACCCTAGAAAGTCGAGGCTGTGGTGAGCTGTGTTGGTGCCACTGTATACTTCAGCCTGGGTGATAGACCCCTACTCAAAAAAGGAAAATAAAAGACAAATAATATCTCTCAGATTTAAAGATATGACTCAAGTGTCTGCTTCTTTATGAAATCTTTTAAGAACTCACAGAGAATTACCCCTTTGTACTCAGAGATATCTCACGGATCACCTGTCAGCAACTTGACTGCACTTTTTTATGAAATAGTGAAAAATGAATTACTTCATATTAAGTAGTATAGCATTGGAACCAATTATTTTGTTGTACTGATATTTGCCTTATAATGGAACTTTGGATATTGAGGAACTTATTTATGACCCAAAAAATCAAAATTTTGTATCTTACATTTTTCTAACATGTGGTAACATATGAAACAGTCACTGACATGCATTGCAGGTTCCCTGGTACATGTTGTGCATTAGTAATTTGTTTGACATCTTCCACCTGGTGTTTTTCTACTCGAGTAGACAATTCAGTCTCGTTTTCTCCCTCTCACATTAATAATATGTAATTTATCATCCAATCTATTGTTTAAAGCAATGTGAATGACTGTGCTCGTGATTCCTGAAAACCATTTCTCAAGTGATCTCAGTATATATTCCATCTCTTTACTTGCTTTTTCTTGCAGTTTGAAAGGAAAACTTCAGGGAAACAACATTTTTTAAAAATTTGCACTTGCATACGTTTGTCCTGTATAATCACCAGCAATCTCTTTATGTTCCCTCAGAGGGGCCATTCGAGTACAAAGGGTTCACTTCTTCCCTGGATATCTCCATACAGCCCTGGGTGGTCTTTTCTCACATCATCTGTGACACTTTGTCATGTCCTCTCTCTGCCTCCCCTTCACCCACTGGTTGCGTCTTCCTGACTAGAAATGGACCGTGAGGGCATCACACTCACCTTTGTGCCCCAGCACCTAGTGCAGTGCCTGGGCAGCAGCCAGGACTCAAACAGTGTACGCAAGTGAATGATTGGGAGATGCCCTCATGCTGAATGCAGTGGGAGCAGGGCTCTCTTCCTTTTGTAACTTACTTAGGTTGGTCTCCCTTACACAAAGGTGATACCGGCATGAGGCGGTGGTCGTGGAGGGCAGGTGTGAGTGACCTTTGGCTTAGGATCTCGACTTCCTTCCCGTGCAGGCAGCCTGCTGGTGAGCAGATTGCTTCAGTGAGTGGCGTGAAGGGCCTGGGAGAGCCAGACCCAAGTGTCCTCACATATCACTGTGACTAGAACTCTCCCCAGGAACAACTCATGCTTTTGTGACCAGCACTGCTTTTTCCAGGCTAACCTGACTCTACAACCAACAGCATAGAAGTATGACTTGGATTATCTCTCTGGTACTTTTCTGAGTGAGCTGAGGTGTTGAGAGAAGACACTGGGGCTGCAGAATAATGCAGATCATTAAGATATTTTCTGGAGGTCTCCTTCTGTCTTAGAAGTGAGTACCACCGGGCTCGGTGGCTCAGCCTGTAATCCCGCGCCTTTGGGAGGCTGAGGTGAGTGGATTGCCTGAGCCCGCGGGTTCGAGACCCGCCTGGGCAGCGAGACCTCATCTCTACAATAAATCAAAAAATCAGCCGGGCGTGGTAGCGCATGCCTGTAATTCCGGCTACTCGGAAGGCTGAGGCGGGAGGATCACCGGAGCCCAGCAGGTCGAGGCTGCGATGACCGGGAGTGGCTGCTGCACTCCAGTCTGGGTGACAGAGTGAGACTGCAACTCAAAAATAAAAAAAAATAAAAAAATAAAAATAAGAAGTGAGCCCCAGGCTAGCCGGGCTTGGTGGCTCAGCCTGTAATCCCAGAACTTTGGGAGACTGAGGTGAGTAGGATTGCCTGAACGTTCACTTCAGGTTCGAGACCAGCCTGGGAAACTTGGGGAGACCTTGTCGCTACAATAAATAAAAAAATTAGCCAGGCGTGGTGGTACGTGTCCATAGTTCCAGCTACTTGGAAGGTTGAGGTAGTAGGATCACCGGCACCCAACAGGTTGACACTGGGGTGGTCGTGAGTGTGGCACTGCACTTCAGCCTGGGCGACAGAGTGAGACTCCAACTCAAAAAAAATTAGCACCTATGCAGTGGTTGGTCACGTCAGCATGGCTCAGGGTCTACCATGTGTCAGCTGTGTCAACCTCCTGGGGCGCCCTTGGATTCTAAAGGACTCCAGATACCACTGTTCTTGCTCCATCTTGCTGGGCAGTTTCTGTGTCAGCAAGGCTCTGAATGCCTCTTGGGCCTAGATCAGCTCAGGTTGATTTCTTGTTGTAGCTGATTGCAGCTAGAAATCACCTGGTTTCGCCTAATTGGGGGATTCTTCCATCAAATACAAGACTTACAATGAAAACCTGTGTTGGCTAGGCACGGTGACTCATGCTTGTAATCCCAGCACTTTGGGAGGTGGAGGCAGAAGATTGCTTGAGCCCAGGCATTCGAGACTCATCTGGACAGCATAGCAAGACCTCACATCTACAAAAAAAAAAAAAGAAAATCAGCCAGGCATGGTGGTGCGTGTCTGTAGTCCCAGCTACTCAGGAGGCTGAGGTGGAAGGATCACCTGAGTGCAGGAGGTCGAGGCTGTGGTGAGCCATGAGTGTGCCACTGAACTCTAGTCTGGGTGACAGAGTGAGACTCTGACTCAAAAGAAAAAAAGAAAAGAAAACCTATGTGATGTTTTGATAGAGGCTGGTCTTTCCATCTCCCCTGGAGAGGACTGTTGGGAGTGGGTTGTGTGTAGCTGTAGCCTGGAAAGCTGTGTACTCTACCTAACCTTTCCTGTTCTTTCTTAACCTTTACTCAAAGTTAACAAGGGTTTGTTGTTCCTCTTGGGACTTTCAAGTTAAGATGAAATTGTAGTTGATGCTAGGAAAAGAATTGTGCTAGCAAACCAGTAGGTTGTGGATTGTAATGAGTGTGATAATGTATCATTGGTTTCTGAGATATTCCTAGTAATTTTGCCCCCACTTAGCCCAAAATAGTGAGTTGCTGGCAAAGGTTGCTGCTGGTTGTTTCTTGGTTCCAATAACTTACTTAAGATCAGAACTGAGTGAAGTGTAGTTTGCCTAGCAGTGAGAAGAGTGACAGCACTTATGGAACTCTTGATTGGTCTCTCTTGACCAAAACAGAAAATTATGTTTCTTCTTCTGGGTTAGCTGGAGCCCAGATCCCTTTCAGAAGACCAACTATGTGCAGACTGTACCTTCAGTGTTGTTAGGGGCTGCTAGGGACTACCTTCTAGGTCTAGTTACCTTCTTTCCTCTCTTTCTCTATCTGATCCTCTAAACTAGGCATTCCTGCCCTCTGCAGACTGCCACTCTCATGTATGCTTTTGTCATTTTTCTTGCAGATTTCAGCAACGTTCCTGACATCACAACAGGTCTGAAAAGGAGTCAGACAGATGGCACTCTGGATCAGGTCTCCCACCGAGAGAAGATGGAGCAGACGTTCAGGGTAAGATGCTGGCCCAGATCTCAAACCACAAACCAGGCAGGCAGGAGTTAATGCCCACCTTTACCTGAGGGAAAAAGGAGCTGGAGTTGCCCTATCCTAGGTCCAGCAGTTGATACAAGCATTTTTTTTTTCTTTAAAAAATATAGTCTCGGGGGGCTAGGCTCATGCCTGTAATCCTAGCACTTTGGGAGGTTGAAGCAAGAGAATTGCCCGAGTCCAGGGGTTCTAGACCAGCCTAGGCAACTTGATGAGACCTCATATCTGCAAGAAATCAAAAAATTAGCTGGGTGTGGTGGCACACACCTATGGCTTCAGCTACTTGGAAAGCTGAGGCAGAAGGATCACCTGAGTCCAGTAAGTCAAGGCTGTGGTGGGCCATGAGCATACCACTGCACTCCTGCCTGGGTGATAGAGTGAGACTCCTACTCTAAATTAATTAATTAATTAATTAATAAAAATCTTCTTATTTATTTTTTTTAATGAAGTACTCATGGGAACCATTTACTTGAGCCAGAATTCCACGAACTCCCACATGTCATCAAAGAGCACTGCAGACATTGCCAGTCACACACAGTTTTTTTGTTTGTTTGCTTGTTTTGAGTCAGGGTCTCACCCTGTTGTCCAGGCTAGATAGAATGCAGTGGCATGATCACAGCTCACTGCAGCCTAACTTCCTGGGTTCAGGGGATCCTTCTGCCTTGGCTTTCTGAGTAGCTGGGACTACAGGTGCATACCACCACACCTGGCTAATTTTTTTTTTTTTTTTTTGTAGCAATGAGGTCTTGCTCTGTTGCCTAAGGTTGAACTCCTGGGCTCAAGAAGTCCTCTCACCTTAGCCTTCCAGAGTGTTGGGAATACGGGCATAAGCCACTGCACCCTGCCTGGGATGGTTTTACTTAGCTATTTTGACAAGGAAAATCTAAGCTACTGTGTTAATTACTATTCTATTCTTTTCCTATTTTTTTTGAGTTGGAGTCTCACTCCTTCTCCCAGGCTGGAGCGCAGTGGCCACCCCAGTGTCAACCTTCTTAGCCCTGGCGATCCTTCTGCCTCAGCCTTCCGAGTAGCCGGAACTACAGACATGTGCTACCATGCCGAGCTATTTTTTATTTTATTGTAGAGACGAGATCTTGCCAAGCTGCCTGGACTGGTCTCGAACCCATGGGCTCAGGCAATGCACTCGCCTTGGCTTCCCAAAGTGCTGGGATTACAGGTTGAGCCACCAAGCCTGGCCCCTTTCCTATTTTTTATTTTTTTTTTGGTTTGGTTGAAGATAAATTATTTTTGTAATGTCATTTTGTGTAGTAAAATATATATAATGTAAAATGTGCTATTTTTCCATTTTCAAGCGTAAACTTCAGTGCCACTAAGTATATTCATGTTGTCATGCAAGTCATCACCAACCTCCATCTTCAGAACTTTTTCATTATCTCATACAAAAACTCTGGACCCTTTAAACAATAACTCTCTATTCCCCTCTCCTTCAAAACCCCTGCTTACCTTTCTCCTTTTTGTCTTATTTGCCATCTCATGGTACCTCATGGATAAGTGAAATTACACAATATTTGTCCTTTTGTCCCTGGCTTATTTCATTCAGCATCATGCCCCTTCTGTTCACCGATGTCATAACATATATCAGAGTTTCATTCATTTTTATAGCTGAATAATAGTCCACTGTATGGATATACCACATTTTGTTTATCCATTCATCTGTTGATGGTCACTTGGATTGTGGCCACTATTTGGCCATTGCGAATCATGCTGTAGTGAACGCTGGTGTACACCTACTTGCTTGAATCCTTGTGTTCAGTTCTTTGGAGCATACGCCTGGGAGCAGAAGTGCTAGGTCACGTGGTAATTTTGTGTTCGCTTTTTTGAGGAAGAGCCAACTGTCTTCCACAGCGCTGCACCATTTTACATTCTCAGCAACAACAGATAAGGGTTCCAATCTCTCCACATCAATGCAGCACTTTTTCTAGTCCATTCCTTTCCTGAGTTTTTAGCTGTTCGTTGTCAGCTGTTTTTTTCAGAAGTGATCTCATAGATGTGATCTATTTTAATATCCAATCTGGTTTTAACTGATTTCGAAATTATAACTGATATTTCTTGCTTTTGGCTTAAATACAAAATAAAAATGGAAGAAATACAAGCCATGGCTGATATATAAGTAAAAGTTATAAAGTGGGGCAATGCTCCAGGTGGGTTTAGACTAATGCCGCCAGGAGTCAGTCCCTTGGGAGTAAGCATGTGGCACACCCTTTGGGGATTGGTGACATCCCCTGTGGGGATGGAGGATCAGGTGAGCACCTGCCAGCTTCAGAGAAGTTTCCAGTAGTTTCTAATGGCTGTGGGCTTTTGACCTCCTGTCCTCCCTGTCTTCTCCCATTCCCTTCTTTATTCCCTGAACACCCTCCCCATTTTCTGGCCTCATCCTCCAAAATCTCTCTTCCCTTTCCTTCTAATTCCTCATGTAAATCAAAGGCTCAGCTGCCTTTACTGGTCTGGTTATGCCCCAGGATGCCGTTTCTTTTACTAAACTCCATCGGCATTTTCAGTCTTGCTACTCAGTTCTGTCTGTGGTGGGCTATTTACTTTTGGGAACCCAATGTTGTGGCTAATACTCATTATTATTATTATTATTTTTGGATTGGGGATTGGAGTCTCTGTCATCCAGGCTGGAGTGCAAGTAGCATGCTCATGACCACCACAGCCTTGACCTGCTGAGCCCAGGCCATCCTTCTACCTCAGGCTTCCAAGTAGCTGGAACCACAGGCGCACGCCACCACATCCAGCTAATTTTTTGATTTGTTGTAGAGACGAGGTCTTGCCAAGTTGCCCAGGCTGGTCTCGAACCCCTGAACTCAGGCAGTCCTCTCCCCTCCGCCTACCAGAGTGCTGGGATTACAGGCATGAGCCGCTGCGCCCAGCAGCATTCATCATTTTTTAAATGAAGCAATGGATCTTAGAGTATTAAATAGATGTGATTTGATGGATTTTCCTTAATTGTTTTTTAAAAAACAAATTCTCCTGAAATTCTAATGCTTGCGAGGCCTTGGCACAGGACAGCAGCTCGGGGAAGTCACTTAACACCACGAGGGATCATGATTTCTCCTCTGCTATAATCTGCTCAAGAGTTACACATCAAAGTTTTTAAGGAGGAAATGCGTTTTAAAAAAAATTATTTTAAGACTTTGTAAAATAGATATGCAAAACGGTATCATGTTAAGGCCATTTCCAACTCTAGGATTTCATAGTATCTGTCAAAATTCAGCAAAATATGCTCCCAATGAACACTGGAGCATCATTTAGAAAGTCAGACGCAGAGCCGAAGCTGCCAGTCAGGTTGGAATGGGGGCAGTCTAAGCTTGAATTTTCATCGTCAAACTAGTGAAAAGAGAAAGCAGATAAATAAATGAATACCAAAGAACACAGAATATAAAATCTGTTGAAAGAATGTGAGCATGCTAAGCATTTACTGTCAGATTCTTGAGTCCAAAGTAGTTGTCACCTAACTTTGTTTTCAAATGTGAAGATATCTACATGTAATAATGGATAAAAATTTCCAATATCCTTATAACAAAAAATTCCAGGCAAATGCCTTACAGTTATTCATTCACATGTTCTTTTTTTCTTGGAAAAGAGGACTTGGGGATCACTAAAAGTAATAATAGTGATGGATATAAGTGAGAAGAAAAAGTTTCTGATTTAAGGATTACAATTTTCTTTTCTATATTAGTTTTTTTTTTTAAAGCCTTCTGGAAACATCAGGTTATATCTAAAAGCAATCCACTTCTGTTCTTAGAATGATGAATGGGAGTTGTCTGATGCATGCCCAGTGCATGCTAGGAGTGGATGTTTGGGGATCCCCCCCAGCACAGGGTCCTAATGATGCCCATTGAGGGCAGTCACTGCCTGGGGAGAAGACGTGCTTCTGTTTTCTGGGCTTCTTGCCCTGGCCTGACTAAGTCTTCTCAGGGGTCATTAACTTCTTTTCAGGTTAGACCCCAGCTGAACCTCGGCTGCTGGGGATATTTTACTAACCAGTATTCTAGATTTTAGAATAAGGAATAATTTCCTTGAAAACCAAATGAAGCCTGACTTGATGGAGCACAGCTGTACCCAGGGCATTTGACAGCCCCGCAATTTCTGCAAATGGCTCATAATTGATTGCCTTCCTGTCTGTAAGGGTGCCTATTACTGTCATAGCTCTTTGTGTGACCCTGTCAGCCTCTCCTGTATGGGGGATTTTTTCCCCCGTTATTGTTAGCAATTAGCATGTGCTATTGTTATAGTTGGGAGTTTGCAAGGAATATACAATTTCGCTGCGGGTAAGGGGGTTGAGAGGGTTTTTGGTGTGTTCTGGGAACTTGAGTTGTGTGAGGCAGTCCCACAAAAGCGCCACTTGCACGCTGCGCTCTGAGCTGACTCTGTGGCTCTGGAGATGTGGCCCTTTGTGGCTCTGCCATCCCCACGTCTGCAGTAACCTGGTGCCTTTCCAGGGCAGGCGGGCGCTGGGCATGGGGAGGGGGACATGGAAGAAGGGGGCACACCTCCTCCGATCCTCGGTGCTGCTTTGGAGGAAGAGCTTGGTGGCGCTAGGACGTCCCTGTGGATGTGACTTGGAAGAGCAGTTGGGGGTTTTCACTGCCTGAGAATGAGAGGGAGCAAGCACGCGCGCTGCTTTGGACTGTGATCATCTCTCCCAGAGGGAGCAGGTTGCTTTGAACTTTTCCTTTTCATGTGCAGTGTGTAAGTAACAAGGGCTTTGTCTTTCCTGGATGCGATTCCGGTCCAAATGTAGGCATGCTTGCATGGTGTACTTGTCGTGATTGAAAGTTAATTTTCCTCTAAAGATGTCTAGACTGTTATGCAGATGAGAAGACATGCCTCTCTCCAGAAGGATTCTGACAGTCATCTCTAAGCACTCTTTACAGCTAGGGATGAGTGAACTTCTTTCGGTCACTAGTTGTCATATGGCATTGTCAACATTTTCCAGGGTC